CTTTGAATTGTCTTGCCAGTGAAATGTGCTATAAAATCAAACTTGTCTTGCCTTTTCAGAGCATACATGGTACAACAATAAAGAGGCGGGTTAAAAACAGTTGTACTCTTATCAAGGTCTTTTGTACTGAAAGCTCACATTAAAAGCTGAAATCTTGTATGGATTTAAGTATGCTGAAATTCTCTGTATGTGGAAGTTATTTAAAAAAAAATATGTATTTACTACAGGAAAGAAACTAGAATGCTTCAACAATAATTTGATGCCACTGAAGATGAGATTTCTGTGTTTTAAATATAACTGATGCATCACTAACACAATTTGACATTGGGTGTTGGCAGTTCCATGGTGCCCAGCAGCTGACTGGCTGGTGTCTACACCACATCTGCACCAACTACAACAGTGTCTGCCGCAAGTTTCCCCGTGAAATGAAATCAAAGTCCACAGGTAACACATTTAGAACTTTATATAAATCTCTGATAGTTCTTCTTCTCAACCCAGCATCAGAACTGCAAACAATTAGCTACTAAACTACAACTAGGAAGGTTAACATTACTAGATTTGGGGATATCAAGCTGTGTTGGTGGGCATATGGAAAAACTAAATATGAAAAAAAAAACACTGTTTTAAGCCATTTTTTTTTTGGTTTTTTTGTTTGCTAATCTTTTTTAACTAAAGTAAAAATTGAATTTTAGCAAATGTGGGTTCTGTCCCCTACTTTTTCAGTTTTTGAGTTATCGCTGCATTGCCTGAAATCTTTCCTTTTAATGTAAATATGCAGCAGCCTGTTAATATTGGACCATAAGGCAATGCTACACTGTCTATGAGAAGGCAGGGGATTTTAAACAACTCTGCAGTTAAACATGACTTAAACAGTATTTGTTCACTAAAACCAGTAAAAACGATTAAGGAGTTTGATCTACTGTATAAATTGTCTGTAGCATCTAATATCAGCTATATTTGCACCTTGTACCACTGGTGGATGTATACAGTTACCCTATAAAGTTCTCATTTGACTGATAATACTGAAATTGGCTAACTTTGAGATTTTTTCTCTTCCGTAGCTTTTTTATATATGTTGTACATATTTGCTCCCGTTTTTACCATAAAAGTCACACTGTTTAAAATTTGCCCTATTGTCCCTTGAACTATTACCTCTGTTGCAGAAAATCAAGAATACTTTGAGAAACATCGCTGGCCGCCAGTTTGGTACTTAAAAGAAGATGATCACTACCAAAGAGCACGCAAAGAGCGTGAAAAAGAGGACTACCTGTACCAGAGAAGGCAATGTAAACGCAAGTGGCTCTTCTGGAACCTTCCTTCCTCCCCTAACTCAAACTCAAATTCACCTTCTGGTTCATCTGCCGTCATTTGAGCAGGTGGTAAGCACAGGGTCAGCTGTGGAGTACATCTCTGTGTTTGCACTGGTAGCTTTCTACTCTCCAAACATTCAGACTGTTTCTTCTCCTGCCTGTGTTGACACTCCAGGTTTGCAAAGTCAGCTCAGAGTCCAGATTGAAATGAAAAGGTTTATTCCTCAGAGTTTTAGCTCTGTAACCTCAGTGATCTAAACCTTTTGGACATAACTCTCACTGTAACAAGTTCAAATATTAGATCATGTAGATGGTAATATATTCCCATTTTAGAGTTTTTAGCTTGAGTAATACACTTTTACTGGAACAGCTGTGGTTATAAATGTTATCAGTGACCTCAGCTGACAACTAAGTGCTGCTTACTAGCTGTGACAACCAGCAATTCAACACTAACTAAACACTCAGAGATATAACACTTTGCCCTTAAGTGTTTATACAATCTGCCAAACCGTGTGTAGATTATGATTTCACAACCAGGATGTAACAAACGTATGGCCTGCCGTTAGAGAGCAAACTGAAGTCATTCATCTGGACGTTGTCATGATCATATCTACAAAAAAAAGCAATTTTATTCCTGTTATTTTTCTGTTTTTAATTCTACTTTGCAGAATTTGTACAACAGGCATGAACACCTTAAAGCTGTGTCTCTTGACACACTAATCGCTGATCTTTTTGTCTGTGGCATTTTGTCGCAACAAGGGCTTAAGCTCACATGCATCCAATGTCCTCTGACCCAGGATTCCCGATGAAAATGCTATTTTCTTTCCATTTCTTCTAAAACTCCAGAATGCCACCATCACTATCACTCCATCTGTGTTGCTCAAGGCAGGTTAATGGGACAGATGTTAAACTTTGTTAGATTTGTAATGAACAGTTTGCTCATTTCAACTGCTGCCGTCAACTAAAAAAGCAGATTACTATTTCACTACAACTGCAGTCTCTGATGGCTTTAAGAGATTTTCCTTACTGACCTAAAGGACCCCCACCTCTGAATTTGGTTGTATATGTAAAACTTGGACAAGCAGGCAACTGAATGATCTAATCCCTTCACTTCAACATCCCAACAAGCACTTTCTGGACTTAAGAAACACACATGAACTTCCAGTGGCAGCCTAGCTGCTTTAGTCTGTGCTGCACCGTGGAAAAGCGACAGGAGGAGACAATGTGAGACTTTCAAAGTGTGTCTATTACTCTTGTGAATATCACACCATCTTTCAGGATTTGTTTTTTGCACACCTCGCTGTATAACACATTCAAGAATGTCATCTATTGTTGCTCTTGATTGTACGATGAGCTGCAGAATGAGTCCGATTTGCAGGCATGGTGCTCAGAGAGGATTGAGTAGTATTGTAAATTGTATTAGATATTAGATCAACTCTAATGTGCTGCTGTTACCTAATGTGCACTGCTGGCAGTGAGCAAAATCTTACTATATTACTGAACAGACTGATCGAAATGTATTTAGTTACTGTGCAGCTATTGTTGTTTAAAAAAAGTGAATAAATATTGTACTGACTTCCAACTACATCTGTTACATACTTTAGTGTACCTGCAAACTATAGGCAGGCAACTTTAACAGTGGATTAAATATAAAATAGAGCTGTAACGTAAAGTAGACAGTAGATTACATCAGATTAAAGTGTACGTTACATCGTTAAACCATGCTGTTGTTATGCGAAAACAATTTCTCATTGCAAGACTAGCTCATAGTGTTCAAAAGCTGTTTTTAATTTCTATTATTGGGTTTTTACTTTATTCTGGCATAAAGGTTCTTGCAAATGCATTCATACCCCTTTAACCTTTTAACATGCTGTAACTATGAAAGTATTTCTCGGTATGCATAATGGAAAAACAGTAATTTGCACCTTTACCTTTTTCTTTCCCTCAAAGTTCTATAAAGGTTGGGTTTTTAACCAAACCATCGCATAAATTTGCTATGACCTTTCCCTCTTCTAATGTAGCTCTCTGTTTGACTTTATAGGTTTATGTTATGCACAGAGGTGGATTTTGAAAGCAAAATTTTTTTTGCATCAGATTTTATGTTGGGGTAGTAGAGTATGGGGGCAGGATCTACAAGTGCATTCAAATTGTTTAAACTGCTGAAACTTTTGCAATGTATAAAAATACAGAAAAATTATAGGGGTATGCAAACTTTTCAAGGCAGTCCATATTTAGACCCTGAAAAAAAAAACATGCATCTTTATAAAAAAAAAAAAAAACTTGCTTGAATCCACTGCTGGTCTAATCAATTAACAGCAGGAACAGCCAAAAGTTGACCGCTTTTCAAATGTGAGATTTAGATGAAGGGTAAGGCTGGTGCTCTTAACAATTTTAAATTATTTTCAGGTACACATTGCCGATGCTAATTCAAAATGTTCCTTAGCATTTTTTATATTATTAATAAAAGTATTATTATGGCACATATTCTTCCTTAGAAACATTGTAGTGAAACAGCAATTCTGAATGTTCTAAGTAGTTTAATAGGGTAAACGCTTGGAGGTGAATCATTTTTATATAATTTGCCTTTTATAATGTGACTGCTAATTGTTTTAGACATACATTTAATTTCTCAGTGATTCTTATGTTGATGTTTCACATCAACAACACCTCATGCCTTAATGTACAGTGTGCTGCAGTGTATGGTGTTGAACGTGTAGCTGTGGTCTTCTACCTGTCTGCTGTATTGTAAGCTGCCTGGTGCTTTCTGATGTCTATCTGTTCACGTGCACAAACCCCTAATTTGGATCTAAAGCAATCTGTTTGTTTAATTTGCCTTATCTTGAATATAAAATTAAAAATAGAAACAGAAATCTACTTAAAGAGTTTGCTTACCCAGACCAGACTATAGTGATGACTAAAATGCAGGGATTTAACATTAATTCCACAGTTTTAAGGATTCCTTTAAAAGCTCATACTTTCTGCAGAGGTACACAATGTTAACTCAGTGTTAAGATAGTAAATCCAATATGTAAATGTTTGCTCTGCTATTCAAGTTTTACACAGCATTTAGAGTAGTTTCATGCAGTCCATATTTTGTAATGTTCATACCGAAATGCAAACTTGCACTGCTTTTTGGTACTGGGTTTTCTTCAGATTGCAACATCATTACATATATGAAAATCAGGTTTAAAAAAATAAATAATAAAAGATCAGATTAGATAAACTACAAATATGCTGTCACGGGGCCCCTATTCTATATGTCTGGGTGCTATATTCCAGCTACAGAGAAGCACAAACCAAAGGGAGCTTTAGCAGCACCAGAAATATGTAGTATATGCTGCACAATCACTACTGCATACTGTAGTTTATGAGGCCTTCTCTGAAATAATAGACAAATTGGAAATATGACGCAAAAATACAAATATATCTTCTTAATATGAATGTTTTTCTCCAGTGTTTGAAGCCTGGGAGACATTGTATGTTTTCTCTAGGTTTATTTTAGCTGTCAAGAGCTGTTTTTATGCTCAAGGAGCTGTAAATCTAAAAAAAATAAAATAATAAAAATGGTCTGTAGCATGTGTTGTTGAAAGTGTGTATATAACATTTAAATAAACAAAAAATTACATGTGCACATGTCGACATTGCTTCAGTCTTCTGGTTTTTTTCTTCTTCTAAGTTTTCATAATGACACCTGAACCCTGCACAGCACCAAACGCACGCAGACGCAGCGGAACTTTACCAGCGTCTATCGCCTGACTGACCCAGAGAGGAGGAAAACTGCAGACAAACGCACCTTTAAACCCGATGGTAATGTTTATAACAAACTAACATGTCTGTTAATGCTTTATAGCGGGCTGTATTTTTTACTTTGCTTACTCATTGCTCTTTGGCTCCGTGGACACTTCCTAAATTGCTGAGCGTCGAATAACAAAGTGCGACAGAAATAAAACTAATGCAACAAGTGAAAGCTAAACATTTAAGTGCTTATAGTTAATTTAACGCTTTTTTTAACTGAAGATAAGAATATGGATTTTGGTTCAATCTTAATTCTGCTTTGTTTTGTCTTCTATTTTTTAACAAGACGAGACAAAAAAGTGGAAGTGCGTCCATTTCTCAGCTGCAGAGCAAAACCTAATACTGAGCGCGCGCCGCCAGCATCAAAGACCGCAGACAGTTAATTAACGCGCAAAACAGCTGTTTAGTTTAGAAGAAGAATTTGACGTGATTAATGCATGTCTGTGTAGTTTACGGTTGTATGCGCAGCACGTTGAGGATGGTAAAATAAGCAGGCATGTATGGCAACACGTTAATTAAAAACAAATAATGAACAGGATATAGCCTACCCAGCCTGTCACTCTGGATTCACCTGTTTAGCTGCATTTCAACAACGTCACAGATGTACTAAATTTGAGCATCTCGATAATTTTCAAAATGAGCTTCGGAATGGGGAAGCAATCAGAGATTAAACTAAGTTCAAACCTGGCATGGCTGTCAGTATGGAGAGCCGTTTGAAACATATTTAAATGATTGAATATTGTTCAATAACAGAATATTCTATAAAATAAAATAAAAAAACCATTAAATTAGAAAAAAATCAACATTTTGCTTATTTTTGTCATATAAGTTGTATTGTTGTTTTTTAGTTCAATGTATATTAATTCATTAAAAATATATTAACTTTAGTTCACGATATATGTAATACTTTTATTTAATTCAAAATGTATTCATTTATTTATTTTAATATAAATTTATTGATTAATTTTGAATGAAATGGCTCTGAAAACAAAAAACCTGAAAACAAAAGAAAAAACATGCACTAAGTGGCAATTATATGTATGTGTGTGTGTGTTTTTTATTTTTATTTAATTTTTTTAATTCAAATGTCAGAGAAGACTATAGCATAGTGGTTATATAATATGGAAACACAGTACTGATTTTAATAAACCCTATTCTATAATGTAAAAAAAAAGAGAATGCACATAC